AAGAAAATGGGAAATAATTATCCAATTCCAATTTATACACAAAAATTGGCGAAAATGAAGCTCTATGATTAAAAAGGGAATATAAGAAATAATCATTAATCTCTAAAGCTAAAAATATATTTTTAAATAGATGCTTAAGTCTCTTTCTGCAATCAAGAGTCCGCTTGTTGCCTGTCTCCTGCTCATTGTCCTGCCTTTGGGCCATTCCCATCTACCAACCCATCTCCCATCTCTCAACCCCAATCGCAATCCCATTCCCCCACCTAGAACCCGAATCGCTTTCAACATTTCCGCTGCAGCTTCAATTACTTTCGAGCCGGTGGAAATTTGCATACAACCAGATGGAACACATGAATTAATATTTGGCTATTGGCCATATTTAGCTGACACAACAATAGACGCAGTCCATGTCTGGCTCTAACCATGTGAAAGCCGAAAGCCAGCCAAGATCGCCGGTTCGAGAGCGCATTAATGATTTCTCACATGGAGCTGGATGCGAAGTAAAACTGGTGGATGCAAAACCGAAACCGAAGTCGCGCAGTCGCAGTTGCGTAGGTCTGATCTTGGCCCTTGGCTCTTGGTCTTTTGCGGATGGCTCTGAGCCTGGTCGATACATTGACCCACTGGACAATTGGTATGCAGCGTCGCCAGTTGGCTGCACTTCATTGGCAAGCTCAGAAGCGAAATGGGAAAAACAAATGCCTTGGCTTTGCTTTCGATTTTGAATGATTTTACATACCCTAGGAATAGGGAATCGCTCTTTGTTATTATCAGCAAACTCAGTCATAAAGGTGAACAATATATTTACTTAAAAACAATAATAAAGTAAGTAATTACTTGCATGTTCGAATTTGTATATCTCAAAAAAATAATATATTTAAAAATGTATCACAACATTAATAGTTTTTCTTCAAAATAATGATAACACAATAAAGCGTCATTCACTATTTTTGTATGTACTCTAAACCAGTTTTTTAATATTTAAAACTATTAACGTTTTTAACTGGAAAGTACATTTTTTTAGAGTTTCTGTTTCTGTGTATCACTGCTAAGCAATGATATTTCTGCCAATTATTATTATATTATATCTGCAAAGGGTATTAAAACATCGACATGAAGCAATTAACTTGCACTCGTTTTCACGTGTTGCATTCGTTTTGAAAGCCATTCGCCAGGTCTGCAAGTTATTGGCAAGGTTTCCTAGTTGACAACGTTAACGCCTTTCACCTGATGGACCGATGAACAATGGTCCGTCGTCCGAATTAGACAGGCAGTCAAATTAAAAACCAATCAAATCGATGGGAAGTCAATGATGCCGCAGAAGATGCCGAAGACGAAGCCAAAGTCGATGCCTCAGTAGCCCACATCGTCAATGGGGGTCTCAAATCTGGCTATTTTCGTAACGACTTAGCATAAATTTGCATAAGCAGTAAAGTCCGATACATAACAGTAAACATAATGAAACGAGCGCTTGATAAATAACATCAAAAAGCCTTCTAGAAGATCGAAAAGAGACGGCAAGAAAGGGAGATGGATCAGGTGAGTCGGAGATTTCCATTTCATGCATTCTACTCGTAAAAGACATTTGCATCTGGGCTGGGCGAGAAATGAAATATGTGCCATACCAGATCGGCAATGCGATTAAGATATCAACTTTGGTTTTCCCCTTCTTCTACCCCTTTCCCCATCCCCATCCCCCCACTAAGAGTGCCGCTCCACAAAGATAAGAGGTGAGTTGAAAGCGCTTTGAGTATTTTGAGTGTTAAGAGATGAGACCTGGAGAAATTGACACGAAAGTATTAAAATTCCAGGGGAATTCTATCATGATATAGGGTTGGGCGAGATATTGCTGGGGGTAAATAGAAGTATCGTCATAATAAATAAAGTTGTTCAAATAGTTTCCATTAGTAATTAATAACCAATTAATTTAAAACCTTAAGAAAGCTATTTCGTGCTCTTTTAAAATCAAGAAAATTATTGAATAATTTTGAATTAACTTCAAGAGGTCCCAAAACCTAATGTTTTGATCCCATTCTGCACGCTGCCATCGCTGACTCCATTGAAATGGAAACTGGCCAGGCTAACTGGCTAACTGGCTAACTGACCAACTGACTGACTGACAGCTACACATCGTCTTTAGAAATGGCGCACAAAAGACAAGCTGCTGCTGCTGTTGTTGTATTTGTTGCTGCTGTTCAGCATAGGAGTTGGTTCGTTTTGGTCTGTTTTTTGTTTTGTCTTGTTTTGTTTTTTTTTGTTTGACGAAATTGACTTTCTCCATTCAATATAATTAATAGTAATATTCCGATGCCTTGGCTACACACACGTCTTCAGAATGGTAACAACCATCGGCAGCTTGGAATGTGGACAGGAAGTAATTTGTTATTGCAGGCGTGCATTAGAGATCGAAAGGCGTTCGAAAATCCATCACAACGCGGCGAGATCCGCTGCACGTGCACGGCATCTCAGTGGGGGAAATTCTTCGGGGGGCACCAAGGAATTCGCACCGCACCACGGGGCGTATGGGTAACAAGTGAAAAGCCAGGAATGCCAGCCACTCACCCGGCGAATGAGTGATGTGCGCCGATATTTACGGGCATTTTTCTATAAGTTTTTAAAGATCTGCCACATTTTGCTGTTTATGCAAATTGTCTTCATTCGAGGGCGCTCGCTACTCACTTTCAAAACGAGACAGAAAGCATATTTAGCTAATATTTTAAGATGGCTTCTGCGGCTTTTACTTTTCTCCCTAGCATTCCGTTGGCTGAAATTAAAAGTAGTTTACCAGACGCTTCTGTTTTTGGCATTTTTTTTTTTGGTTTCGTTTTGTGCGTTTAGTTTTTTCCTTCTGCCATCTGTTTACATAACGACAAAAATAAAAAAAAGAAATAGTTTAACAATGCCAACTAACAAATAAGGCAGTTCGGGCACGCACTCCACGAAACTATCTGCCAGCCGATGTGTGAATGATGTGCCTGGGCAAGAGCAAGTGGCAAAGTGGCAACCAGTGGCCATTTTACGTTCATTGACACGGCTAATGGCTGGTGGTTTAGACCGGAGTACAGTGAAGTGGAGTGGTGCAGGGCAGAAACCAAACCAAACCAAACCAAACCAAAGCACTGGACAAAACCGACACGTCTAAGCCGAGGTTTCGCCGGCACGCGTTTGTTTTACCTGAGAGGACGGGCCGAATATGTTATTTAATGCATTGGCATGCACAAATTAAGACTCTTTATAATTGGGGGTTATATAACACGTATACGGCGCTTATCTAATGCCATACAGCTAAAGCAAAGAAAGCGGCACAATTAGACGAGTTTTCTAGCCAGTTTGTGTCAAATAATAGGCCCAAGATCGAGTGATTTTCATGTGTGTTCCGTTGTCGCCGCATTTGAAGTTTTCAGCCGCATAAAATGCTCCACGGGTGTGGGCCTTAATAAGATGGGTAAATGTGCACGGCGAAAAACGAATCTGTTAGTTTGGAATATCAAAATTATCAAAGTCTGATTTTAACGCGAATTTATAATACTTACTTGCTTTACTTAACTATAATAAGAAAAAGTCCAGCAACAAAAATGTTTACAAAGTAAATAACAAATTTTTCAAGTTTGAATACATTTTTTATTAGTTTATTTAGTTTACAACAAACAAATGTTAAAATAACAAGACATTCATTTTATTATAAATATTTGAGTTTGGGTTAAGTTGCTAAACCAATATTTGTCTGTATTTTACATATATTTCCACTAGTCATTTTGAAAAATTATACTTCATCGCCTTGTTATACGAATAGATGAAAATGATTATGGAGATTAAAAATGAGTTTGGATATATTGCTTTGTTTGTGTGGAGCTGAGCACGGGTGGTCATCCTTTGCGAAAGAACGTAGGCTTCGCGACTGGACGGCAGCACACTTTCGCACATTAAAAGCGGCCACAACACCGGATTGCAGATTTTTTATTTGCATATTTAACGCCAGTTTAAGTGCTCAGCTAACATTTCACTTTTGGATCACATTTTATGGATTTTCTTTTAGTGCCGTAAAAGCAAATGGTCGCACACTGCTCTCACAACTAGCCGGCTCCCCCGGCGATCTGGAAATAATATGGAATGGTAGTGTAGGATTCACTTAATTTGGTCTATCCCCTGAGTTGCCTATAACCTATATTTTTTATTTTGGTCAAGTGCACGTTGACTTCAATAATAAATAATAGAGCAAATCAATGTAAAAATTTTAATATCAGATGTTAATGATTTTAATTTTAAGAGTTTGGCGAATAAAATCCTCAAATCTTATGCCGGTGTCGGAAGAGTATATAAACAGTTTAAATAATTATTAGAAATGAAAAAACTAAGTAATCCCTTAACATTTTTAGGCCGTCCAGGTTTTTAAGGATTCCGCTTCTGGAAGGTGCTTGTTCACCTTGGTGTGCAGGCTCGCCAAAATTGTATGATCGCCTTGGAGAAGACGCAGGAAGTCCCATAACGCCTTGCAAAAGTGGCCAGTTTGCGATAAACCCAAAGGTGGTAACACTTCTAGGATCTGAAATCTGTGAGTCGCGAAATTTTCAGTCCGACTGAACTCGCGGTTTTCGCAATTGCTCAGTTTTAACACCCCGGCCCCGGCGACAGACCCATCAAAAGACCCCCAGGAAGCGCTCACAAAGCTTACGACCGAAATCATAACCTCACGATTGCCAGCGCTGCCATCCTCACGACCCTCAAGACTACTAGCGTTACGTTACGTTCATTGTTAACTTAAATTCTGTTACGTCTCTGTTAAGGCTCTTAAAAGTATGCAATGTTTGCATTCAAAAATGTTACGTTTGACCCTAAATGTTATGTATCAAGTTCTAACAGAATAGACGAGACACGAACCATGGTATTGTTAACAGCTGAAAGGCTTGAAACTTTGCCAATGCCTAGGAACAGCTTTTGTAACCCACAAGCTGTACCTATTAGCTAAGACTTTAACCAACATCAGTAACTTAGTTTTAAAATTGACATTTTTAGTTCTTTATTACAGTTCTCTAAACATTACAATACAACAAATTGGTTTAGTGTTTATTTAGAGTGTAATATTTTGTAGTTCCAGCTTTTGCTCTAGTTTGGTGACCACTTGACCATTGTGCTTGATACCTTTCAATTTCCGGACGTAATCCTCCGGAACGGAGCTCTCGACAGCGCCCTTAACAAGACACTCGAGATAAGTTTTCGATGGCTGGCGGGATGCCGGAACAGAATCCTTTGATAGTTCGTAGAGGTTGTCCTCCGGCTGCTTGGTCAGCAGATAAGCACGGGCAGGAGTTTGTTTGGATTCATCACGGAGTTGCACGTAGACGGTTCGAGGCTCATAAATGCCCAGATCAACGCCTTCTTGGCTATAAAAACACAAATTCTTCATCATTCTTTTGTAATGTAAGCTCGATAACCATTTAATTTGAAGTGTAACACAAACAAATTTGGAAAATAAAATAAATGAAAATCTAATTTAGCTTGTTATATTTTATTAAATTAATAATCTTTTTGTGCAAAATGGACATTCTTTGAAAGCAGTAACTTGGACCAAATTGAGATCGGCTAAAAACCTTTCAAAGTATAATCAAATGCATTTACTTACTTGTCAATATCTGGAAGATTGCTGAGATCGATCTCCCAGAGGGTGCCCCACAGATGATAACCCTGGGTGGGCACAATGGTGGCCACAGCGCCATTCCAACGATCAGATATGAATGCGAAGTCCAACCGATAATCGGGGAGCAGGGCGGGTCCAACTCTCACAGCCGTTGGGTTCTGGATGTGAATCCTCTTGGTCAGCATATTGCTCCCGAATCCAAAGTACAGGAACTTATCACCCCGCACTTCTGGCAGATCCAAGGTGGCATTGGCACCTCGGATGCTGTGGCTTTGCGCCTTAGGAAAAGCCAAAAACAGGCAGGTGACGACACCGATAAGACACTTTCGATGCATTGCGTTTTTCGTTCTTGATTTGAGAGCTTCGAGTGATTCGATCTGCCTGAAGGTTGAATCTCTACTGAGCGATTACTTTATATATCAGCTATGTCTATCTTGAAAGGTTTCTCTACTTTGTTTTGCGGTAAACACAATTGAACACAACGTTTGCAAATGCATTTCGGAAGGAATCTTTTGTTTTTATAAGTAAACTCTTTTCAAAAGTAAAATTTATGTCTAAATTCCACTCATATTTACTAAGCAAATATAATTAGATTAGCACTTCGATTATCACTAGATGCACGCGAATACATTTGGACAAAGCTGAAAAGTGTGTAATGTTTTGTTTGATAGATTTTGTGTTCATTGGGTTATCATGGGTTATTAAGTGTTTGATTTTACAATCTATGACATTTTAGGGCTTAGAAAGTGAGACCGAATGATTAAGATCTCACACAGTTTATGGTAATTAGTGAAATAAATTACCCTATTATTTGGAAATGATTTAAACTTCTAAAAATAATATTAGAGTCTTTAAGGCTCTCCATGAACCTATTTTTTGTATCAAGATTTAAATACAAACAAATTCGATTACGAAAGGGTTGCGATTTGTGTTGTCGTAAGCTTTACTTGTTGTATTTGTTAGCTATGTTGACACAACAATGTTATTTTATAAAGTAAATTGTCAAAATCGAAGCAAACACATGGGCGGCAAGCGACACCAAAAACCGAATCGTTTGGCTTTCGATTTCAATATTTGGTGCCATGATGGGATCATATCATGGGGAAAAGGAGGACAATTTGCCACTATTTGTTCGGGGCGCCGCAGTGACAGGCGTTTACGAATGTATGCGAATTTATTTTAAATGATTTTTGCGATTTTATTGCGGAATTTGTTGCATGTTCTCGATGGATGTTGGTGTGGCTTGTGGCGGCAATTTGGCCAGTTTGACATGGTTTCTGGCCAAAACCGAAACCAGATCAGAAGAGGACAGGACAGGCGACAGGAGTTGAATGCGTTAAGAGGTCGGACATGGCCGGCATGACATCTGCACTTTGCGGTGATTTATGTGTTTGACTAGGAATGGCAGGTGTAAATATTAATATATTTATAACAAAATTAAATTATTGCTGCTTTTAATTATTAAAGACAAAGTAAAATGATGATTAAAAATAAATATTTTATAAAACATTTTCAATTCAAACTTTCTGGGAAAGTGCATTCAATTGATATATATTTGTATTGCTTTAATTTTTAATAAAAAACGCTTTTCTACAGAAAATGACAGTTAATGTATATCATATTTATATTGTACTTACAAGCTGAAGTAATTCACATATCTTTTTCAATTAAGGATTTGTCAATTTCTCCGAAAAATAAAACGCATCCCGAAAACTCGAGTTATCTCTGCAGCCACTCACGAATGTCACTTAACTGGGTTAATTTATGGCACGACTTGCCGCAAATCATTCAATTGGCTGGCTCATCTTAGTCCTGATGGCCAGAAACAAAAACAGGCGCCGGCATAAATATTCATACATGCGTGCTGCCCCGTGGGACCCTTTCACCCGGTAAATCCTTGTCATTGTCCCCATATCTTGGCTGATTTTCACGCACACATGAGCACGTAAGGAGCACAAATGATCACAGCATCGTCATCATCATCTGCCTCATCTCCAGCGTCATAATCATGAGCGGTATTCGGCGCAAACAGAGCGTAAACATACATATTTACTGCCAAAACATATCTTTGCCATGTGCATATTCATAGATACTCCAATCGCACGTAATTTGAATATGCCGCCATTCACGGCATTCGATGCCATCGAAATGCCAACTGTGGAGTCATCATTTATTTCTCCTACCTGCCGGTAGTTTTTGTCATGTAAATATCGCACATCAAGTGTCTTTCGTTACTTTTTCAGTCGTAAAAAAACATAAAAAAAACCTCACATACAGACAGCAGCCATATGATAAATGGATTTTCCGCCTTCACGAACTTTGGATGTCGCACACAGCACTTGGCTGCCTTTAGCTTTTACTCGTTGGCTTTCCGCATTTAAAGTTTTGAGTGAAAAGGCTTAACAGTTTTTTGCACATATACGTAGCGTATATTTGAATATGGTTGGATGTTATATGTTGCAGATAGGTCACTAGTTTTATGGCATCGCCCATAGATGATGGATAAAACTCATTTTAAAAATGGATTCTAAGATAGCTGATTTTAACAACTTTTTCATCTGAGTCATTTCATGTCGATTTGAGGTTTAATGATCAAAACCGTGGGCAGTAATGGTAAAATGTTAAAAAGTCATACATCGTTGAATTTGTTATTCAATTTCCAATCGATTGGCGTTTACTGTAGAAAACTTCTCTTTGTGCCGATTTTCGCAAAAAAAATTGTCATTAATTAGACTGAATATTAGATTTAATGTTCTGCTTTGGCTTTGAGTCAATTAAATGTACCAATAAAAGTGCAGATTAAGCAAACTAAATATTTCACAAAGCGTAAATAAATCAATTAACAGAAAGGCCGCAGTGAATCAAATAAAAAAAATATTTGCAATTCATTTATTTATTTTTTGCACATTTTAATTAATTTTTAATGTTCAGCAAATACAAACAACGAAAAAATCAAACAGAAATGGCCATTGAACGAATAAAAAATCCGGAAATGAATCACCACGTGTCCGCTTAGTGGTGGGTGGTCGAGTGGGTATTTCTATGAAAGAATTACCAACAAGGCCTAACACGAGTCTGCCATTAAAATGATTGAGCCGCAAACCAAAGAATCCACAATAAACATCCGCCCAAATTTTCAAGTAAACGGATTAAATTCCGATTTCCGATATGCAAAGCGGAAAAGAGAAATGTAATTTGACAAAAGCTTTTAAATACTCTGATAATTCCATTTTATATGTTATGCAATGTCTGCAATATAGTTATAAATTGTAGCATTTGACATTTGATAAGCTTGTGTACGTATACGTATAGATAAATATAAATATATTATAAAGCATTTTTTGATGGGAAAGCATTATAGTGTGAAATAATTCTTTAAAGTAAAACATTTAGTTTTGAAAATTTGAGGTAAAGTTCTCGTGTCATAATAATTTAATTTTATTGGCTTTACATGATATTTTAGAGTTGATTTTTATTACCCTTAAATAATTATAAAAAATTTTAGTTTCTGATACAAATTACTTTACGCAATTAATTCCATAAAATGTTAATCATTAGCTTATATTTAGATTTCTAACAATGAAACTCAATGCCGACAATGCTAAGCATCTTTCTGTAAGTGTATAATTATGAGTGAAAGATTTCGTAATCAATTTAAGCGCTTGAAATATCAACAAGGACTCGAAAACCGTTGGCAAGTCACGTTGTTTGATATCTGCCGACACACGGCGAAGCTCCTTTATGTGTCTTCTTGTCACAAGGAAAACTTTCCGGCAGGTTCGCAGCCCAAATATTTGCTTGGAAAATTCGTCAGCTCGAGGGAAAGAGAAGCTGCCGTGTGGCAAGGAAACATATTTTTGTGGCTTAACGTAAAAAATATATATATTTTTGGCTAAGAAAATCCACAAAGGCAGCAGTGTTGTAAGAGCTGAAGTGCAAGTTGCTGGGACTTGACCTCAACTGAACTCACTTCGCCAATCAGCTTCACTTCAGCTGAAAAACGAGTGTGCTAGGAAAATATTTCCATTTTAGTGCACCTTTTTTTCAATAAACTTAACATACTCAAATTGCATTTTGACAAGTGGGTAAAACATGAATTTGTCGTTAGGACATTATTAAATTTGATTGAATTCATTGAATTTATAATGGAGTAGCAGCTGGCAGAAATTGTGTTAAGTTCCGAAATTTTCTGACCACAAGTAAAATGGATATGTTAGGCAAAACCACAGCCTATAATAAATCAAGTCATTAGTGACTTTTGAACAATTGTTTTATTTTGAAAAAATTATTTTAATCTATTCTAAAATCTGTTTTAATTAACTAATTACTTTTGACCCGAGACTAGTCAATATATATAGTTTTAGCTTCATTTTTCAAAAAAAGCCTTTCATATGTACGAAATTACCTATTCTCAAAGTGTAAAATAAATTGTTGGGGTAAAACCGAATTAAATGAAATTCGTTTTCAAATCATTCCTAATTGATCACATTACACATACGCAATGTTCGCCGAAATACTAATATTAATATTTGTAGTTTTATCTTCATTGTCTTTATTTCTTATGTTTTTAAAGTGTGGCAAAATAAAACCAAATTCAATTCAATTTGAAAGCATGCCTAATTGACCACATTACGCATACGCAGTGTTCGCCGTAGTTCAGCCAGGAGAATCTCAACCGGATAAGCATCGTCGCATCATCATAATCAGGCAACTCGTATCGAGGGCATCAGCATTATTAGCATCGCCATCGCCGACAACAAAGTTATAAACTGCTCGACATCCAGGCATCAGGGAGTCAATTATATAACGATGCGTCGATGTTGAAGTAGTTGCTGTTTGCCACGCCTGTTTCGCCTGACAAGCTCGTTAAAATTTATGTTTTGTTTGTATTTCAGGAAGGAGGGTATCCGGGATGCTCCTCGCATGACGCACTTACTTGACGTAGTCCGCAGGTCTGAACAGGAATCAAGGGGTTAGGACACACTATTATCCTGCCCCAGCTGGTTGTGACAGGCAGCAACTGTCACAATAGCTGCCAATGTTTGGACATTGGTCGATGGCCATAAGACAGAAGCTTAAATATTAGATCGCTTTCCAAACGGGGCTATTATCGAGCAACTGCGAATGGGGGAAATTAAATTTATTGATATAAATGCAAACATAAACGATTACATTCAAATTAGTCTTGTCAATAGTAACAACGTGTTTGTTTGTGTTCTAATAAAAACAAAGCAAATAATTAAAATAATATTTTTAAAATGGTAAAGTCTTACATTCACAATTCACATGTTTAAATGAAAAAAAGTATGAAAAATAAAAAACTGGAGTTATAAAGTATAATTTTGTAACCTTTATCACACTGATGGTGACAAATACCTAAAACATTTCAAAGTCAATTACTTAACTATATAATAAAAATAAAACTCAATTTAATTGGTTTTAATTAACGGTGTGACTTAATTATGTGTCTTAATTGAAACATTTTTAATTGGCCAGTCTAATTTAATTATCGCAGTAATTTGGCATAAAAACTCTGGATAATAATAAGTGAAAAATGTATCATATAAATGGTATAAATATTTAATTTTTGCATACAATTATGTCTAAACATTAGGGATATTTGTATAAAAACCCTATAGAAAGAAATCTCATTTAAGGTTGGTCAATATATTTTTTTTGTTGTACAAAAATGTTTCTTTTTACATGCTTCAAAAAATTAGATTTAAAATGACATTCCACAAACGATAATTGAAATTAAATGGAAAGCAAATATGGGCCGTAAAAACGTAACAAATAATCAACCGGAAAAATTGCATTCAGTCAGTAAATATAGTTTTTATGCCAGAGGCCAACATGTTTTCTGCAGAAAAACGTTTTATTGCCTGTCCAAAGATTGCCCACAGATAATAATAAATATTTGGAATAAAATCTGTGTTTGTCAGCCAGTTATCCGATTGAGTGCAATGCAAGGCCCGCATTTAAATGCAATAAATCAGCGCCGAGCAGACTTTAACTTTCCCAAAGAGCAGCCCCATCAGTCTGCCTTCTTCCAGTTTCGAGTTTTCAGCTGCGAGGCCAGGAGCCAGGACCACGATATTGCAGGAAAAAGCCTCTGGATCCTGCACATGTTTACATGACGTTGGCCTGACTGCAGTCGCGGCTGCATGCAAAATTAATAAGCCATAACAAGTTGGTTTATGCTGCGGCTTCCTGGGACGGGGAAACCGTGCTTGTCCGGGGTGAATTAATTAACGAGCAGTGAAGAGCAGGAAGAGGCATAAAGTTGGGTATTCAAGAAATCTCTTGCATGTCTTTGGCAAATTTCAGCCGAGCCATACTCTGAGTAAAGAAGCTGCTAGAGCTCGTTAAAGTAATGGCCTATTCGATGTTCCAATTTAAACCTAAACTATGTACTTACCTTATTGCATTAACTTTTTTTTTAACCTTTCGCAATAAAATAAAGGTATAGAAAGGAATGCAGTTTAATTTAGACAGAAATTATCATTTTAGTAGGCACGCAAATTTTGTATAACTTTAAGCCCTTATGCTGGTTAGCGGTATGAAAGTTCGCCTCTTTATATTAAAACCTGACTGCAATACGTTAATGCATTAAGCATAGGGGAAGAGGATCGAAACCATTTATGGCACCTTGCCAATTACTTTTAAGAATTTTCTCCCATTAAATTAATTAATGTGTTAAGGTCGAAACCAAAACATTAAAAAGATCCGATTCATATTAAACTATGAACTAAAAATTGTGTAAGACATAGTTTGTTTTCGTAATTTATTCACCAGTACTTTCTAGCGATCAAGTAGGAATTTGGCCAACATTCAAAGAATATATTCTAATAAGGTAGGCAGGTCCTGCGAAGTTCATTGTAGTATCGGCGTTCACCACAAGCGATGTCCCTTGCAGACGGTACTCGAGTGGGAACTTGGGCTTCGACGTTGGAGAGTACCAGGCCCAGGAAAACCAGAACACAACCTTGAATGATGTTCATCTTGCCGATTATCGAATGATAATCTGGCTTTGGGATCAGGGATCTATTTATACTAGGCTCCGTACCCGACAATTTTATATGGATATTTAATGGTTATTAGGTAAGGTATGTAACTTTGAATGCGGAAAGACTACAAAGTGCTACGTACATAAATATATTATATATATATATTATTTTTGTATTATTCAAATTGAATTTGTTAGTTCAATTCAAAATTTGATTATAAATTATAAAAAAAGCGTCTTACTATGTTCGCGTTTTTTCATCTAAAAACATCAAAAAAGTTTTTAAAAATAGTGAATGGATTAATTAAACTCTCCCCGAGCTTATTTATTTTAGTTATCGTCTTACACAATTATATTTTTCAAAGTGTAAAATTTTGAGTATGGAGTTTTCAACATACAACGTTTTCTTCAGTCCTTCCTTAACCACTCGAATCGATTCTGTCGTGCATTTCCTAATGAATATTTATAATCCCTCTTTTCGGATAGAACGAAGAAAAAAAGTGGAAAATGAAAATCGAAAAATGGGAAGGGGAATTTTTATGAATAATTTTTATGCATAAACTGAAAACTAACGACATAGCTCCTGTTTATCACTGTAATGATTAAGAAAATGATTTTATTGTTCTTTTGTTTTAATAAAGAAAATGTGAGAATTTATTTCTACTACAATAGTAACTCCAGTGTAACCGCGTGATGATAGCTTATACCGAATAAGAGATCAACGTCTGTTCAGGCTAGAGTCATTTAATACAGTGGGTCAGATCTCGCTTAAAGAACCATGACAAAGTATAACAAGGAAAAATGCTCAATCATCTGTTATATATTCAAGTTGCTCTAAAACTAAACATGGGATGTTCTTACAGAAAACAAACAACAACTAATTATTAAATGGGTTACCTTTTTTATTGGGTAATCTTAACGCTGACCCAAAGGCTCTCGACACGGAATATTATATATATATTATTATATTATATTAATTGGTCTAGAGGAATGCGAGACAAAAGTTACACAACTCCTTGCTAAGAAAGACCTAATGGCCATTAAAACTAAATACAGCTTTTCATTGTAGACATTTTCGGAATCATCTGTACTGTACGCAGACGCGGCGAATTTGATTTAAGTATTGGTTTGGACCACACTCTTGGGCATCGACGTTGGGGAGTAGCAGGCCGAGGAAAACCAGAACGCAACCTTGGATGATGTTCATCTTGGCGAATATCAAAGGATCCCACAGCCAGATTACTGTGGGATCAGGGATCTATTTATACTAGGCTCCATCCCCGATAATTTTAAATGGATATTTAATGATTATTAGGTAAGGTCTGCAACTTTGAATGCGGAACTAGGAAATGGTTTTTAAAGAGTGCGTACCGACTACAAAGTACTTCGTATATAAATATAAATTTGTAAATGTACTAGTAAGCAAAAAACAATAAACAAAAAATTGATTGCTTTAAATATTTGTGGTCGTTAATCCGGGCGTGGCCGCAATAATCTGTTAATAAAAACATCCAAACTTAGGTATAAATATAGTGTTACAAATTTGTTATTAGTAATTAGCTTAAGTTGAATTTGTTTTTGCAAACATCTTAAACATAATTTTATTCTGAATTATTTTGAAGGGAACCTAACCAGTCATTAAGACTTAATACAATTTAAGCATAAAATTCGGGTTATTTAAGTGACATTCCGATTTATCGGTTACCGTTCAAGGTCTTTCAGGCATTACAAAAGCACTTACGAAAAATCTTTACTCTAGTTTCACTTTTCACCGACGACCAACTCTGTTTGTATGGCCCACTTGGCGTATGCTTGATGGCAAATGTGCAGTGTAAACAAGCGAAACGAGCAGTCCACAAACACACATTTCCCACTTTTGCCTCCCGTTCCCCGCACCTTAGATGTCTCCAGTCTTTCCAGCTCATTTAAATTACATTTCTGTTTGAATTTGTATGCCAAGCGAATCAAGTTCTTGGCAACGGCCACATCATCAGCTGTAAAACTCCTCATTTACTTAGTTATTCTCGATTCCCATCCCCAGATTAAGTTTGCTTAAAGTGAAATTGATACGCACTTTCCCCGCCTTTCTTTTAAATAAAAGCTGCGAAAATGCGTACTTGTCTGCACTTTTTTGTGTTTATTTCGCAATTGATCTAGGTTCGAATAAATGCCTTTTTTGGAACTTTAGGTTTAAGTGACCTGCTGCTGAGTATGTCCAATTACTTTTAAGAATTTTCTCTCATAAAATTAATTAATGTGTTGAAGTGGAAACCAAAACATATAAAAGATCCGATTCATATTAAACCATGAACTAAAAATTGTGTAAGACATAGTTTGTTTTCGTAATTTATTGACCAGTACTTTCTAACGATCAAGTAGGAATTTGGCCAACATTCAAAGAATATATTCTAATAAGGTAGGCAGGTCCTGCGAAGTTCATTGTAGTATCGGCGTTCACCACAAGCGATGTCCCTTGCAGACGGTACTCGAGTGGGAACTTGGGCTTCGACGTTGGAGAGTACCAGGCCCAGGAAAACCAAAACACAAACTTGAATGATGTTCATCTTGCCGAATATCGAATGATAATCTGGCTGTGGGATCAGGGATCTATTTATACTAGGCTCCGTACCCGACAATTTTATATGGATATTTAATGGTTATTAGGTAAGGTATGTAACTTTTAATGCGGAAAGACTACAAAGTACTTCGTACATAAATATATTATATTTTTGTATTATTCAAATTGAATTTGTTAGTTCAATTCAAAATTTGATAATAAATTATAAAAAAAGCGTCTTACTGCGAACATAGTAGTTTTCATCTAAAAACATTACAAAAAAGTTCTTAAAATTAGTGAATGGATAAATTAAACTCTCCCCGAGCTTTATATAGTTATTTATTTTAGTTATCGTCTTACACAATTATATTTTTCAAAGTGTTTTTTAACTCTGTAAAAATTTGAGTATGAACAACGTTTTCTTCAGTCCTTTCCTTAACCACTCGAACCGATTCTGTCGTGCATTTCCTAATGAATATTTAAAATCCCTCTTTTCGGATAGAACGAAGTGAAAAAGTGGAAAGTGAAAATCGGAAAATCTGTGGAACTGAGCTGACTGATTACTGCTGCCGGGAGCTTACATGGAAGCATAATTACCCGGAAAGTGCGACTGAAGTCGAGCTCGTGGGGCGCCCGAAAGTGTAAGCTGATAGCCTTATGTTCCTGACTTGTAAAAAGAAACTTAAACTTTAAGTTTTTACTTTAAGTTTGGCTGAGTGAGTAATATTTGCTCGGGCTTAAGTTCGCAGCGTACTTTTAGGGGCTCCTCCACTTCGAATTCAATTAATTACGCTAAAAATGGGAAGGGGATGCCTGCGGAAGTTGCTTTATTTCGGCACGTGATAAATTAATTTAAGCCAGACCCGAAGCGTTCCGTGTAATGTTTTTGCATACACATCGCGAGGTGGCATAAAAGTGGATCATTTAGTGGGTGGGGGGAACGTGGGCGTTAGTGGCAGTTCAGGTTATCGAAATGGGCGTGGCAACAACTTAATTACGCTACGCACGGCAGCTAATTGAGTTCGTAGCCCAGCGAAAAATAAAACGCAATTCGCTTTGGCATTGAGACAAAGTTTCGCTTTTCGGTTAGCAATTACACGCAGTTTTCATGGTCTCGATACAGTGGATTGAAATAGGAATTTATTATACTTAATTTGGACTCTGTTCTATTTTTTCAACAAAAAGTTTTTATGAATAATTTTTATGAATAAACTGAAAACTAACGACGTAGCTCCATTTTATCACTGGAATGATTACGAAAATGGTTTTATTGTTCTTTTGTTTTAATAAAGAAAACAAACAACAATTAATTATTAAATGGGTTACTTTTTTATTGGGTAATCTTAACCCTGACCCAAAGGATAGTTTATTTGCAATGTTAAATTTTAAAATTTTCCATTTTTTTTCAAGTTACCAAAAACAGTTTTCGTAAAACCAGTGCACTGCAGTGTGTCATAGTACCTTCTTGAAGACGTGCTTCGTGAGCATTTCATGTTTATGGTTTCAAAAACAGTTACTTAATTGCCTAAATATTTGAATGCCGAGGCAAACATTGGGCTAAATCAATTTGGCCAGGAGATGGGATACTTTAACCTGAACCAAAGCAAACCAAACGAACCCATCTCACGGCCTTTTTTCAGTTGCACTCTAGACAGCTCAATTTACTCGGCTCTACTCGCTTATTTTCGTTTCGGGACGCCAGTAATTATAACTTGGCTGTAATCTGCGTATTAATCTCAGTTTTCTTTGGGCCAGGACACAAAGAAGGTTTGTCGGTTCTCGGCTCAGTTTTCCACGTTTTTTTCCACATTTTAACATGGAACAAATGCCAGCGAATTTATTTGGTTTATTGTTGCTGATATTTTGCAGCTTTTCGTTGGCTGCTTTTGTCTAATTTAGCTCTCGACACGGAATATTATTAATTGGTCTAGACGAACGCGAGACAAAAGTTACACAACTCCTTGCTAGAAAAGACCTAATGGCCATTAAAACTAAATACATAGTTGTAAAAGGAGAACAGTCATGCCTTTTCATTATTCATTATTAAGAGCTTTTCATTGTAGACATTTTCGGAATCAGCTCTTCAATATTTAGGCTTTCAAAACCAAAAAAATTAAAATTGTGTAAGGCTTAGTTTGCTTTCTTAATTTATTCAGCGGCCAACAATCAAAGAATATATTCTAATAAGTGAGGCACATCCCGCGAATTTCATTGAAGTATTCGCCTGCACAACAATGTTGGGCATCGACGTTGGAGAGTAGCAGGCCGAGAAAAACCAGAACACAACCTTGGATGATGTTCATCTTGGCGAATATCGAAGGATGATCTGGCTATGGGATCTGGGCTCTATTTATACTTGGCTCCGTACCTGATAACTTAGCTCTAGATACGGCAATTAAATGGTAATTATAATAAGGCCTATTTTGCAGCGTCAAATGCAAGACC